TTTAAAAATATATAAACAGTCAATTAATCCAGAAAAAGGAAGGAAATGGGAACAGAGGAACAAAAAATAGGACAAATGGAAAACAAATGGTAAGATGGTACACCTAAACCCAACCATATTAATAATTAAATTTAAGTGCACTAATGCTGCAATGAAATGGAAGAAATTGTCAGAATGAATAAAAAACAGAATCTTACTCTGTATACACACTTTAAATATTAAGACACCTATAGATGGAAATTTAAAGAATAAGAAAAAGGTAATCCTCCCATGGAAAATGTAACCATTAAAGAGACTGATTGGCTATATTAACATCATAAAATTGGATTTCAAGTCAACAGAATATTATTATAGTTAAAAGTGACATTTTACGATAGCAAAGGGTTCATTTAATTAGAAAGAAATGACAATCATAAATATATATGCCCCTAATAAAACAGTTTTAAAATACATGAAGCAAAAGTTGACAAACTAAAGGGAAAACAGAAAAATCTACAATCATACTGGAAGATTTTAACACCTCTCTCAGCAACTGAAAGCAAAACTGCTTTAAAAACTAAGGATAAAAATCACTAAAGACAGAAGATCTGAACACTGTCAACCGCAATGACAAAATTAATATAGATATTTAAGGAACACCCCAGTCAATACCTGCAGATTAAAAATTATTTTCAGGTATAAATAGTACATTCATCAAAACTATATGCTGGACCATACAACAAGTCTCAATAAATTTCCAAATACAGTAATCTTATAGAACACTATCTCTGACCATAATGGAAGTATATTAGAAGTGAATAAAAATAAGATATACAAGGAAAAAACACAAACATTTCAAAAGTAAATAACACATTTTCTAATAACCAAAGGGGCAAAAAGAAAATTACAAGGGAAATTAGAAACATTTCTAACTGAATATTTATTTGTAAAGTTGACAAGCTAATACTAAAAGTTCTATAAAAAAGCAGTAGAGCAAGAGTCTACAGAGCATCCTTGAAAAAGAACAAAGTGACTTGCAGTACCCGCATTTCAAGAGGTACTATACAGCGACATGTATTAGTGGGTATTTTTCTGGACTCTATTCTGTTATACCAATTATTTTGTCAATCATTACGCCAATACCACACCATTTTTTCTTTTTTAGCTTGATAAATAGGTCTCAAAATTGGGTAGTGTTAAGTCCTCCAACTTTATGTTTTACTATTTGGTTGGTCAAAAAGTTCGTTCAGGGTTTTCCATAACATCTTATAGAAAAACCCAAATGAACTTTTTAGCTAACCCAATACTTTATTTTGCTCTTTTAGGTCCCTTGCATTTCCCTATAAATTTTAGAATTGGCTTGTATTTATCTAAAAACTATAGCTTTCTGGAATTTTGATTGGGATTACATAATAAATAGATCAATTTGGGGAGAACTGACATTTTGACAACATTGTATCTTCTGATTCATGAACTTGGCCTAGCTGTCCACTTACATATGTCTTTTAATTTCCCTCTGGTATGTTTTGTACTTTTCATATTTTATCAAATTTATCCTTAACTATTACACAAGTTTTGATATTCTTATAAATGGTCTTTTTCGATTTCAATTTCTAATTATTTGTTTCTAATATTTAGATATATAATTGACTTTTGTAAATTGATGGTATCTTGCAACACTGCTAAATTTTCCTACTATTTCTAGTTGTTTCATCATAGATTCAGTACACTTTGTATACGGATGCTCAGGTTCTGTGAATAAAAAGAGTTTTACTTCCTTATTTCTAATCAGCATGATTTTATTTGTTTCTTGCCTTACTGTACTAGTTAGAATCTCCAGTACAATGTTGAATATAACTGACTTGTTCCTTATGTTAGAAGGAGAGCATTCAGTGTTTAATAAGAAAGAAATATGTTTTATACAAACTCTTCTAGTGAAGTAAAAAAGAGAGAATACTTTGCAATTCATATTAGGACACCAGCATCACCTAGATAAAATCTAACAAGAAACATTCAAGGAAGGAAAAGTACAGCCCAATATCCCTCGTAAATATAGATGTAAAAATCCTAAGAAAAATATTAGCCAATTGAATCCAGCAATATGAAAATAATAAAACATTACAACAAAGTTAGGTTTATTTCAAAGAATACAAAACTGAATTAATAATTGAAAAACAATCAATGTAATAACCATGTTAACAGAATACATGAGAAAAACCCTAGCATCATCTTAAAAGACATTGTATACAATTAATACCTGTTCATGAAAAAGCTTTCAAACTGTGACTAGATGGGAACTTCCTAATACGATAAACGACATTTACAAAAAAACCCCATAGCATATAGAGTGTTTAAAGGTAAAATACTGTAAGTTTCAAAAAGAAGCAAAACTAATCAATGATGATAGAAGACAAAGCTGGTTACATTGTAGGGGTAGCCACTAATTAGGAACATTATGGAGGTTTACTGAATACTGGTAATATTCTACATCTTGATCTGAGCGGTATTTATATGGATGTGTTCAATTTGTGAAATGTCATTGAGTTAAACACTTAAGGTCTGTACACTTTAGTATTTGTATGTTACACTTCAATAAAATCGTTTACAAAAAATTTCAAGTGTTTTCATGAAACTAAATTATCCTTAAAGTTATAGTGCTAAGTGCCAACATGGCCAAGACACTTTACAGAACAGTAAGAAAGTAATCTACCAAATATAAAAACTTACTATGAAGCTATACTGATTAAGATGATGTAACATTATCCAGGAATACAGAGAAAAGAGTCTAGAAAGAAACTCAATATACTGAACTAGGATATATGATAGAGGTAGCCCAGCACTACACAAGAAAAAAAGTGGATCATCCAATGGGTTGATTTGGAAAAACTGGCTACTATTTGGGGAAAAATAAATAAATAAAAATGGATCCTTACCTTATACTGTATGTGAAATACAATTCCGAATGAATTATGAACATAAATGACATAAACAAAGCTTTAAAACTTTTTGAAGGAAACAGAGGTGCAAATATTTCCATATTTGGGGTAGGGAAGAATTTCTTAAATGAGCACTAAGTATAAAAGATTAAATTTTCTAAATTAAAATTAAGAATTTCTGTTTATCATATGACATGTTAAAGAAAATGAAAAGACAAGGTACACACTGAGAGAAGATACTTGCCACACATTCAACTTACTAGAGATTAATATCAAGGACATTTAAAGAACTTTTACAAATCAATAAGAAAAAAATCCAGTACAAGAATGGATAAAAGACATAAATAGACATTTTGTAGAGGAGGGCACTCACTTGACTAGTAATTGTAGGAAATACAGCCAAATGCATTGTTGATATGAGTAAAATTGATGAAAACCACTTTGAAAAATAAGTGACCAGTATTTTGTGAAAGTTTACATTTTCACATCCTAGACCTAGGATTTCCATTCTGAGATAGTTAATCCACAAAAATGCATGCAGGTGTGTACTAAGAATCATGTACAAAAATGTCAATTGCAGCATTATTCATAACAGCAAAAAACTGGAAATAACCCTAATACTCATCTACAAATGAATGGACAAGTAGTTATGATATAATCACATATAAGAGAATATTTTATATCAGTCAAAATAAATGAAGTTATACAAAACATCATAGATGAATCTTAACACAGTGATGAGTCAAAATTGCCAAATCCCAGGAAACAAAACAATTTGATACATTTTTATAAATGGCAAAACTAAACAATATTCTATTTCCTCATAAATTTATATGAGATAAAACTTTCTAAAAAATAATCAAAATGATCAATAGTTCAGTAGTTACCTCTGGTGAGACAATCAGGGTACCAGTAAAGGGTGAAGGATACGTAGATATAAGTTATTAGTAATTTCCTACCCTTGAATTAGTTGGTGGGACCAACAGTGTTTATTATAACAAAAAAGTAACAATTAAAATAAATATGCATGTAACATAATACTGTGTCATGATACAAATCTTATGACTAACCCAATTCTGTGCACCTGATGTCCAAAAAATTCAATATAATACAATACAAATGAAAAAATCTTATGTTTGAGTTGTTAGCAAGACAAAATATGCTGGGTTGAAAAATTACTGGATCATTAAAGTTAAAGGATCATTAATAAACATTTAAGCTCCCAATTACGTACTTGTGTTAATTTCATTTCTTTAAATTCTAACACTTAAAGAAGTACTGAGTGCCTTAAAAACGAATAACTTTATAGGAATAAGATTGTTTTATAATACATATTTAGAGATGACAGTTACCTTGAAAATTATCTAAAAGAGGTACCACTGGATATTTTCTATGTGACAGGCTCTGCATTTGACATGCATTATACCTCATTAATCCTCACAAAACTCTTATGACAAAGATACTATTAATATCAACATTTTATTTGTGAAGAAACTTTGGCTAAAGGGTTAAGAAATTTGCTCAAGTTCACAAAGGTCACAGGCAAAGCTATAATTTGATCCCAGGTTTATTTGAATCCTGAATCTGCATATTTATCTATACATTCGTACTACCTCACTTAATAGGACAAGAATAGGTAGAAACGTCAACTGATCTGTCCAAAATCATATATCAAGATAGTGATAGAACTGGGACTAAATGGTATTAACTACCACATACCAGGAATTATGGCAAGTACTTTTATGCGACTTTCTATTCAATACTCTTTTCATTCCATTACCCCATTCAATAAAACGTCTCGAAATGGACATGACCTATTAATTTCCTCTTCATTATCATATATCAGCCAAATGTTTCATCCCAATAACTATACCAGATACACCCTGTGTTTCTATATGCATTTCTATATGAATCCACATTGTATATAATATTTATGTCTACAGAGTACAAAAAATAGCACAACATAAATCTGCCACACTTATATTCTAATATATGCAAATTTATTCAATTTTTGTGTTTTAGTCAATTATACTAGAAAATTTAATATGATATTATACTGGGTAACATTTTTAGAAAATGTCTCACCTGTTCTGAGTGGTCTGAATCACATTCTTGAGGTAAAGGATAGAGTGCTCCTTGTGACTCCTGAAGCTTTTCTTTTAATTTAGCGTTTTCCCGCTCTTTTTGAAATAGCTTATCCTGAAGATTAACAACACTTTGTCGGAGCATAGCTTCACTTGATTTTGTGGTTTCAAACCAAATATGTAACTCATTGTAAAGCTGTTTCAAAACATATATCCAAATTTATTAATAATCAATAAAATAGTTATGTCTATATATTTATACATATGGTCTATATATGACATACTCATTGACCTCAAGTTATTTTAATAGTCTAAGAGGAAAAACAATATAAAAACATATGGGAAACTAAATGATATAATCACATACCAATACAAAACTCCAAATGACGTTAAAAAGACAAGATGTTCTTATTGACCAGTTGTAATACAGGGGTGCAAACATTTTAAGCTAGCTATATTAATCTTCATGATAAAGAACGGATTTAAGCTGTGAGAGGTGAAGAATAAAGGCAGTAAAAAGGTCATCTATGCAGATAACTGGGGGAAGAGATTTCAGGCAGTGGAACCCAGTGCAAAGACCTTGAGGGTGAAGAATACCTGGTATGTTCAAGTGAAAAAGCAAAGTTAAATGTGGCCAAAGCAGAGAGATTAAGAAGCGAAGGCAAAGATGAGATCAGAGGGGTAATGAAGAGCCAGATCATGTAGAGTCTCACAGGTTGTAGTAAGGACTTCGGCTTTTACTTTTAATCAGACAAGAAACCAGTCGGGGTAATTTAAGAGAGGAATGACCTGATTTGACTTACTTAGTTTTAGCAAGAACATTCTGGCATCTATGTTGAGAATAAACTCAAAATGGGTAAGGTCAGGAGCAAAGAAACGAAGTAGGAAACTACTGCAAACATTCAGGTAATGCAAGTTAGTGGTCACAGCAGGGGTAGTGGGAAGTAGTAGGATTCCAGACACCCTCTGAAGGCAGGGCAAACAATAGCTTAGTTTTGAACACGTGAAGTCTGAGATGCCCGTTAGGCATCAAGTTAAAAGATGCTAAGTAGGAGATTAGATATACTCTTTCCTAGAGTTCAGGGAAGAGATCCAGAGCAGATAATCAAATCTGGGAGTGATCAGCATATAGACAGTATGGTTTTGAAAGCCTAGGTGAGTAGATAAAATCACCTAGGGTATGAATTTAAAGAGAGGGAAAAAAAAGAGGTCCTAAGATTTTGGCTTGGAACATTTTAACATTTAGAGGACAGGGTGACTAAGGAAGACTAGAAAGCAACAGAAAAGAAACAGCTAGAAACTGAAAGAAGAAAATCACACAACTGTTATATGCTGTAAGCCAGAAGGGAAAAAAAGGGTTTCAAAGGATAGAGTCATCGACTGTGACAATGTTGTTGGTAAGTGAGGTAAGATGAAGACTGCTAAAAGATTACTGAATTCAGCAATATGGGAGTCACAAATGATTCTGCAAAGAGAAATTTTAGTGGAGTGAAAGGGGCAAAAACTTGATTGGAATAGGTTCAAAAGAGAATGGAAGAAGAGAACTTTGAGACAAGTTAACTCTTGCAAGGAATATTGCTGGAAAAGGAAAGAAAGGAAGGGAAGGAAAGGAATAGAGTAAGGTCAAGACAGGTTTTTTGTTGTTGCTTAATTGTTTTGGTCTTCCATGCAGATCAGAGACACAACAGCATGTTTTTATGTGGTTAGAAATGATCCAGTAGGGAAAACTGACACCGTAGAAGAGATGTGGAATGCCTCCTTCTGAAGTTTATAAAAAAAAGTTGAGGAGGGAGACCTCAGTAATCAAATTATACTCTGGTAAATCCACGCTGTACTTTACATGTTTTTGTTGGAGCATGGGGAGGAGGAGGAGAGCAAGAGCTATACATACTGTCATGGAAATATACTCAAGGCATATTATTTGAAAACAGCAAGTTAACGAACAGTAAGGATAGGATAAATTAATTAATAATAAAAATGTAAGATACCTAGATTGGTGATATGTGTATATGTACACAGACACAGTATATAATGCATGAAAAGGTCTGGAATGACTACTCAGATGATTACCCCTGGGTAGGGGAATGAAATGAACTGGGATGAGTGGAAGAGAACTCAAATCTGTTATATTAGCATTATCAGTACTTCTATATCATTTCAAATTTTTATAATAATATATTTATGTAATTCTTATATAATTAAAAAGATGAAATAATTTTAAAATATTCTGTTCTTCTAGAGGGACTCTAGGATACACTCTCAAATATTAACACCAGTAAAGTCTGGGGCAATGGCTTCAGGCAGGAGGGCAGAGAACTTTATTTTTTTATACGCTTCTGAATTTTTTGAAAATTTATCACAAGCATGTATTACTTTGGTAATAATCACTTCAAATAAAAATGTTTAAGTATTCAGTTGTTTGAAATGATATAGAATCTACAAAAGTTCTCAGGTAGGGTATTAAAAAAATGGTTGCTCTCTGCAAAGGCTGCTAAGGAGGATCAACCAAAAAGTAGAATTAAGGCTGAAACAATTTATCTTAAATTTTAAGTTAAGCAAAGCTGAAAAAGGAATCTTAGAACAAAAGACTGAAAAAGTAAATAGCAAAGGAAACACTGCCTTTTTCTTCCACCTTACCAAGTTCTCTCTTGCTAACTGAGAGGAGAAACAGCAAAGTATTTGCACATGAGAGAAAAGAGTTATGAACTTTAACAACAAGTAACCCTAAAGACATATTTTAATATAACTTGCCATGGGTTAGGGACTTTCAAGCAAAAATCAAGAAAGAGAAAGAAAGGTTTGCGTTAAACACCTACACAGTGAAAAAGAGAAAAGAGTTAAAGTTACTAATAAGGTCCAATTTTTCAAGTCAATTTAGCAACGGAGTCTGGTTTAGAAACAAAAGCATAATGGGCAATCCCACTGTATAAAACAAAAAGGTGGAGCTGTTCTATTCAAAGTGGAGAGGATGGACACTACCCTGATGCTTGGTGTCATCCTCGTCCTGACAGAAACTCGAAGGAAACACAGAATTTAGTCGAAAAACCACAGTTACAAAGCATCATTTGAAAGTATGTGTTTAAAGTTTACTTAATAGTTATTTATTTCATATTAATTATAGATGTTGAATTTCCACAGTGCTTTTTTAGGAGAAGAGTAAGCTTAGACAGAAATAATCCCCAAATAACATAGACTGCACCATTTAACCTCTCTAAGCCTTGGCTGCTTCAACTATTAAGAGGAAATAACATCAATCTCATAGGGTTGATCTGTGTAGAAAATAAATTATTTCTATAAATATGTACATCACACAAAACATAAAGAGTTCAATAAAAGTGTTTTTTAATTACTAGCTGTAAGTATTGCTGCTGTGTCAGCATACCTAAATATCTGGGTAAGCCTTCTTGAGGGGCTCCTTAAACAACTGTAAAGTAAAATGACTACTTAAAAGAAACACACAAAATAAAGAGAAAGAACCTTGGAAAATATTGATCCTAAAGACCTCATCAGCATACCCATTTGTGTTTGTGCAGATTTGCCAATAAAACTGTGCAAATTCTATGACTGAAAGACTGCTTTAGGTCATAAACTAGAATCATACTTGTTGAATAATTTCTCATCATAGAAGGCTGAATAATCCCATTCTCCAAATCCTTCCTGGTTTGAGGACTACAGTTCTAGTATGTTTCATAGTAGATATCAAAACTCCAATTTATAAAAACAATATCCTACAGAATAAATTTGCATGTATATTTTAAATGTTTCGGCCTTAACAGCCATAAAAATACTCACATAATTTTGAATATTACCAAATTGAATCATATTTCATTTTTAATTTTGAAGAAGCAATATAAAAGGGAGTAATAAAGCAATATTGAAATGTGCAAAAATTTGAATTCTATATATTTTTATAAGTTCACACATATAAATTTACATTTTTATGACAGAATAAAAGCGTACTTTTTGATATGATATACTTTCAGCTGTGTGAACATCTTCCTGGTTCCTCAGTACCTTCTGTGTGTCCATATTCAGAAGCTGAAGCTGTTGGATCAGTTCTGCTTGCTGTGCTGTATGTGCACTGTTCTGTTTGTACAGATTCTGCAGCTCCTGCAACTCCTTCCTGTGCAAAGCAAGCAATAGAGAGAAGCATGAATAAAGATCATCTTAGTTAAATAATTTTGTTCATCTAAAGTTATAGATCGGCCTCCAGTTTTTTCATCTATTATTTTTTACTGCAGGCAAACATATTAACAAGAGAAATAACATATGAAGTATTTAATATTTATCACATACACCTAGAAAGTATTGATAGAACTACTATGACTTTCAAAGCCAAATACTTATCAATTTTCTTTTATAGCTTGATAGTAATAAAAACCCTGGATATACAGTCATACTACCACCTTCTTATTGAAGTTAAGTTACACTTCAGTTCCAAGAATTAATAAGCACTGATGCCAACTATCAGATAGTTCTGAATACAGGGTAACTCTACCTTTCATTTTATATTATATAGAAACTTAAATGTATTAAAAAGAATCCCAAAAGGTAAATTAAGTTTTCAAACAAAAGTTCCTTAAAGCACCACTAGTTTGTCACCTCAGGGGCCTAGGCTGGGATTCCTGTGACTCCTCTTGAAGGAAATGATGAGGTTTTTTGTCAGAAGGAAGGAGAGCAATACAAGGTGAAATCACTCCTTGCAACCTACCCAGGGTAAACTTGGTAAGTAGAAGGACAAATGAACTGGAGTGACAGTCTTCATGGCCCTAAGGGTCCAGGAAAACCACACCTCTGGGATAGAGGTTTCCAGATTCCTGTGGTGGTGAATCCTGTGTGATACAGGTCATATAAAACTGGAAAATATGTTGTAAAATAAATTTGAAGAGAAAGATATTTATAGAGATGTATCTCACAGAAGTATACATTATACTATATATTTTGGAGACTATTTTTAATGGAGACTGTTCTTTACTTATAACCTCAAACTGGTGATTCATTCACATAAGATAAATCTTAAAAGAAAGAAGAAACATAAAAGATATGCAGACAGTTGTTGAACATGGATGAATATTAATATGGGAGAAATGAGCTCTGCTTATTTATTTATTTATTTATAATTTCTATTTTGTTTTTTTTTTGCCTTGCCACATGGCCTGCAGAATCTCAGTTCCCTGACCAGGGATTGAACCCAGGCCACAGCAGTGAAAGCGCCGAGTCCTAACCACTGGACCACCAGGGAATTCCGGAACTCTGCTCTTTTACAGGTTTAGAGTATTAATATTCTCCAGATACAACAGAAACCCCTGAACCCACACAGATAGATGTACATACACCATCTACCTTCGTCCTTTTGATATAACAAAAACAGCACAGACTAGGTAGTTTACAAAAACCAGAAAGTTATTTCTCACAGTTGGGGAGGCTGGAAGTTAGAGATCAAACTGCCAGCATAGTCAAGTGAGGACCCTCTTCCAGGTCGCACACTTATTGTTACATCCTCATACGGTGGAAGGCACTCGGGGGCTCTGAGAGGTCTTTTTTACAAGAGGGTTCTACCCTCATAACCGAAGCACCTCCTTAAGGACCCCACCTCCTAATGCCATCACATTAGGCATTAGAATTTCAACATATGAATTTTGGGTGGACACAAACATTTAGACTATAGCACTTTTTTTCTGTAACTATTCAAGAAACTGAAACCTGTAGAAAATAATAGTCCAAAAATGGGGGAAGGGAAAGAAGAGAATCAATAATGATACATGCCTTGAGAAAATATAATACAAGAGAGGGAGAGAAGAGACACATAGTAATGATTCTTGCTGAGTATTGTCATTTTTCAAGAATAACACTGGCAAGAATTATCAAAGGAGATAGGCAGTAGCTGTAGAATAAAATTCCATCAGCACAGATAGTCAAGATATGTGTTAGCCAAGAGACCTAAGTAAATGTTGCGTTTAGAAAGGAGACATGATGAAGATAATACATATCATCTTTCAATACAATATAAAACACAGAAAACGTTCTCCTCTAATAATAGAAGATAATTTTTCTTAAAGAGAGGGCCAGAATCAGTCATTGGCTTGGATTTAAGGGTCATCTGGAACAAAATATATGTATCTTTAATCAGAAGAAACACTTGAGTTGGGAGATGTTCATACTATGAGACAGTTGGGGAGTAAAAATCAACTAAGAGAAGAGCATATTCTTGTCTCTCATCTTGTGCTATTTTCTGGGCATACTCTCAGTAAACGGAATGGACGCATAATTTTATATTATGTACAAATGTTTCTTTCTTTGTGTCTTCTCACACCACCATCTGAAAAGTAGATGAGATAGAATGTACAACAATGTTGCAAATATGAAAGTGGAAATTGATCAGTATCAAAGTAAGCTGCAAATAAGGCTTTGGAAACATACATCTGGACCGCTGGAAAACACTGAACTTGTGTAGACCTATCTTCATTTGAAAATAAGTAAAGAAAAACAAACAGGAATTATTTAAAAGGAGTGCTTAGAATTAAGAAAAAAGAAATTTTATTGTGCATACTCAGAGGAAAATTATACCTCTGAGTAGGAGTTACTGAAGGAATTATAAGAAAGGTCTAGAAAATGTATGAAAAAGAAACCATTGCACTTCTCTTAATTATCTCAAAAGAAAGTCAAGATGTGAAGATAATCTTAACAAAAATGTCTGTGAAGGTAGGGACTTTTGTGCTCACTGCTATAAATGGACAACCTAGCATAGTTCCTGTAGCCTATTAAATATTGGTTGTTGTCTTAGACACATCTTATATACCTCTTCAGATTCAGCTCACCAGCCTCCTAGATTCTTAGTCCCTTGCTCTGCCTCAGACTATTAACTACCACTTAAGCCTATAACATTTATGCAGCTATGTGGCTCCATCACTTGAGGTCAACCAGCTGCATGCCTAGCATATTTTTCTCCTTGTACCACTTCCAGATTAGGATAAAATGCTACAACACAGGCATGGTATAAGCAGCAAACTTTGATCAATGGAAGATAAAACACAAGAAGTTTTTTTGTTTGTCTTTTTTGTTTTTTCTATCTGATGGATTGCTATAGGGCATGGTTTCTTTCTATAGTCTGTCCAGAATCAACCTGAGTGTCTAATTCAATGCACCTGATGTCTCTTCATGGCTCATCATGAAGCAGTGGCCAGCACAATGATGTGTTTCCTTGAATTACTCTTTATCCTTCCCTGCCTCAGATTATTCTTCTCTCACTCACTCTGCCTTGGAATTGAATCTCTCAAGTAAGTAATCAGTAACCTTCACTCAGCCTCTGTTTTCTAGGATATATGGGATAAGACAGTTGTTGAATGGATGAAATGATAAGGATAACATAAAGAAGAAAGATTGTTAAGAAAGAAAGATGTCATAATAGCATTAAAATCCATAATGAGAAAAGTTATGAGGCAAACCAAAACTATGGAAAGTAAAATTAATTGGTAGGTTCAAACTTGAGAAGTTCCTCCAAACACGGATTAAAAAGAATAAAGGAAAGGGTGAAAGGGTAGGTTGAGCTAAGACGATGCTGAGAACCAACGACACTTCTTCCCATCTCAAGAAGAATGTTGTGTCCAGTCTTACATTTAGGTCTCGAATCCATTTTGGGTTTATTTTTGTGTATGGGGTTAGGAAGTGTTCTAATCTCATTCTTTTACATGTAGCTGTCCAGTTTTCCCAGCACCACTTATTGAAGACACTGTCTTTTCTCCATGTATATCTTTGCCTCCTTTGTCATAGATTAGTTGACCATAGGTGCGTGTGTTTATCTCTGGGCTTTCTATCTTGTTCCATTGATCTATGTTTCTGTCAATATTATGACATAGTATGAGTGTGTTTCATGTCTGGTAATTGCAATCATTGTTGCTTTTGTTGTGGTCATCCATTTACAATGCTTGGTGTCAGTTTATTTCTCTCTTGTAAAAATAAAATACAGTGTGTGTGTGTGTGTGTGTGTGTGTGAAAATAAATAAATAAATACTTTTTAAGATTAAAAAAAAGAAGAAGAATGTTAAGCTGATTAAAAATACTGTATTGCTCAGTTACAGTGATGTTTACTAAGGGATTGAATAAGCCATAGGAGAAATTAGGAATATCCCTTTAGACATCAAATTTGATAGCAAAGACTGACAAAGGGTTTCAGACAGCATCTATAGGTTATTTTGCAGTTACCAAAAAAAAAACCAACCAAAATGTACTGTTACAAAAACAAAGATTTGCTTGCTCACATTACATGTGGCTCTCCCCTATCCTAAGACCCAAACTGGAGCAGTAGACGGCATTAGTAATATGCCACTCTAATGGCAGAGGGCAAAAAGTAAAGGCAATTCAAGCAATGACTCTTTTAAAACACTTGCCAGGACATGATATACATCACTTTCACACTCATTCCACAGGCCACGTGGCTAAATCTGATGTTAATGGAGGAGAAAGCATACTCCAGCAACAGAGAAGGCCCTGGTAAAAATGGGCCTTTAAGGTGAATCAAAATTGAGTATAGGAATAAACACATCAAGAGTAAAAAGTTTAGTGAAGAGCACTGAAGCAATACAGAAAACTAAGTCTAAATATCTTTAGGCACTGTGGTTATGCATGAGGAGATAAAGGTTATAAATCCTGAGATGCAAAATGAGAAGGAGTTAAAATGGTTGAATGTATGTCCTATTTTACTAAGTGTACGTAGCAGGGTATCAAATCCAATTCAAGATGAAATGTAGTTCTTTTAAAAAAAAAAACATAATTACATCAACCTCCAAAGTTTTTTTCATGCCATTTCTTTCTTAGTTTTAGAAAAATAGTTAGTGGTTCTTATAGAGAAGAAAAAATTATCTGAGATTTAATAATTCTTTCAATTTCACTTCAGTGTCTATTGTTCCATTATATCACAAAAACTGAAGTTATCACTTATTAGAAAAACATGTTCGGGACTTCCCTGGTGGTCCAGTAGGTAAGACCCCATGCTCCCAATGCAGGAGGCCTGGGTTCAATCCCTGGTCAGGGAACTAGATCCTGCGTGCATGCAGCAGCTAAGAGTCCTCATGCCACAACGAAGAAGTCCGCATGTCGCAACTAAGAAGCTTCATGCTTCAACTA